ATCTTGGAGCATAAAGAGATTGTTTTTTTCTTTTTTTACATCAACTCAGGCTGGTCAGTCCTAACCGAGCCTTGTTGCGTAAACTGATGAAGCCCACCCCGATGAGAGGCCTCACGTCTTCGAAGACAACCAGAACAGTCCAGATGCAGTCTATTCGATGCCCTGAGAAACGAATGCATAGCATTAGCAAGACAGCTATCGCTGGAACAAAACCGAACAACTGTCCAGTGTAGTGTTTGCAACTTTGAATACGAGTATAGTTAGTTCATGCTATGCATCAGGCAGCGGTAAGAAGGCCAACTTCAACATCAAGCCTACCCATTCAAATAACATATGGACCTCGAAGCCAACGTGTGCTTTTATTTTGAAGGCTGAGTGTCGCAACATAACGGCTGACTTGACTCGTTTCCCAGACTCTGAGGCAACGCCATCACAATCTGTTGTTACTTGCTACCGAATTTAACGAGATACTGATGTAACTTTCAATTGCTGATTAAGAACGCTTAAAAAAACCCAAAACATTACGAATATGCTGCATTCTACGGCGCCGCTCTAGCGGCTGAAAGTGTTTGCCAGAGCTGTTGGACTTTATTTCCGGTCTCTGCACACCCTATTGGTACCTATACACGGCTAAAGAAAAAAAAACATCCCACTTCTTTATGTTGTTACGGTAATACATATTATAAAACGGGTGTGTATTATACACAGGATTTTAAGGTAATACAATCCATTATGATATTCAAAGACGCACGCATGCACTCATACAACAAGAGAAGCAGATGTTCCCCTCTTGGGGGGGGGGTAGTGGAGGTCGTGAACTCTGGGGTGATTATGGGGATGATGAGTGGTCCCCGAGGACTAACGAGGAAACCATTCAGTGAGGAGAGCGACACGTCCCGCTCACGTCGCGAATGTCGCTTGACGCCATCCTTGGCGAAGCCACAATAAGTCAACGAACCCTTCAAAGTCGCACGACTAAAATGAGGGAAGTGAGACCGTAAAAAATAAAACCTGTTCACTGTTACGGCTCATCTTTAATAATCGAGACTTGAATGAAACGGCTTCATAATCTCTGTCCGCTGTAGTGACTGATGCTTCCTTAATCCTGCATGTGACCTGTAAAAGATCATAAAAACGTGCACGTTTCTTGGCAAGCGGAGTGTGGCCCCTGACAAGCCTCCCTCCCCCCTTTAGTCTTAAAAAAAAAAAAAAACAAAAAAAAAAACAGAATATCCAAATGGTTTGCACATGCTTGAATTTGGAGCCGCAATAGCTTCCCAGATCAAGTGTTTAATAAAGAATAAGCTGAATAAGTAGCTTAGATAAAGTGACAAAAAGCTTTCTGACTCCCGAGGATGTCACATTTTCTCTGCCGCACGCACGTTTCCTCTTCTTCTTTTCTAGAAATAAGAAAAAAAAAAGTTTTAAATTCATGAACCATCCTGTTTTTTTTTTTTTAATAAACAGTAAATATTTGGAATACACAGATTCCACCAATCAATTATTGATCAGGAGCTCACGACAAAGCTAACGAAATGAAGACACATGCTCTCATAATCATCATCATCATAGTCGTCATGAGTGACCAACATTGAAAACACTTCAAAGAGTAAATTTTGATGGAAATCGTGAAGGTGTGTTTTCATTTCGAAATCTGCTATAAAATCATATCAAGGCAATTTAAGAACATATTTTTGACAGCCTCAACTGCTGCCTAAACTTTGTCATTCCATTTGTGGTACTTCACTGCTGTCATTGGTGTGGGCAAGCGAGATGGATATTTTTTTTATTTTATTTTTTTTAATAAACCTTTACTCCCACTCCCAGTGGAAGATTTCAAAGGAAGAAGTTCTGAGCTCCTGAATTAATTCTGAAAGTTGATGACTTTACGGGTGATGAAAAGCCGGATTCCTTGGGCTGGGAAAAAAAAAAAAACCCTCGCGGGCTCTTTCTTGCTGTATGTGTGTACATAATTTAAAGCATCGGCATGTAACGGCAACGACAAGGCAAAACACAAGAAAGATGACTCAGTGGCCTACATGCACGTTTCCTCTTTGGGCTTTTCTCAGCTTTCATCTCGCTTTTTTCCCCCCACTTGAGCCATGTGAGCCTCTTTTCATGCAGACGACCCCAAAAAAAAAAAAAAATTGCCGCCTCACAACTGTAACATCAGAGCATTTATTGATTCTTTTGCAATGCTGCCACTGCGCTGCTAAATACTCATCTGGTGTGTCACATTTTTAATGCAGGGAGCCTGCAAAACTGCCGTGCCGAGGCTGTCACGGGAGACCTCAAATTTTTGGGACAGAGAACTCAGAATCCCGAAAAATTTGTCTTTGGTTAAAAAGTTTTTCACCCTTCTCAGATTTTTTTTCGGGTGCAAATTTTAATGTGTAAGATCATCCAAAAAGTGTGAATGCCAAAACCCAAGGTTACATAAATTGCAGTTTTCAAATGGTGATTTTTAGGGCCCAACCCAATTATTATATATATATATATATATTTTTTTTTTTTTCTTGAGACAGATGCAGTTTCTGTCCGAATATTTGGCAGAATAGAATTCCGATAACAGATTCATTGACTGATTTAAATAAAGACATAATGAATCAAATAAATGGATGCTTACAACAGTAAAGATTTAAATTAGAGGCAGAACATTTGACTCTTTGAAATGATTTTGTCCTGATTTGTTTGACTTTACAACAGGGAGAATAAATTCGGCCCAAAAATCTGATGATTTAAAAAAAAAAAATTCTTTTGTGTGTGTGTTTGGAAGAGGTAATATTGGTCGATTAAAATCGGCAGACCGATTCATCGGGTCAGGCCCAAGAGATATTGACCATGATGGGGAAAAAAAGACGATTCCAAGCTACCTGCCTGTTCTCAGAATCAATTCTCAAACTAGTTAACCATTTCTTAAAAAACGAAATGAGAGTTGTCAATGAAATTGATTGATTCATCTTGACACTTCGAGCTAGCGCAAGTGCTTTAAGAAGCAGCGGCAGTCGTCGTCGCTCGGCAGCGTTCACTCGGGGCTCCGTTAATCTTTCTGCTACTCTTGATTGGAAAATCCTTGTGGGCTTTAGCATAGCGCTTCACTGTACGTGCGCACACACACACACATTTTTTTTTGGGGGGGCGGGATATACATGTGTAAAGGCTTAGTGGGCATTGCACACTCTAACTACCACCCGCCCCAGGCTCCCACACCGACCCCCTCTCCCCCTCCCTCAGTGCTGGTATGGCCTGGTGGCAAAACGCAGACTGGGCCACCGTGACTCACCAGCCAGTGCGTGGAGGATCCTGGATAAGACACGCAAATCGGACGTGGGCGCCCAAAAGCTCAGCGATAACATCAGCCGTCCAATTCGCCGCTCGTTTTTACACGTAGCCCCTACCTCCGCATTACCGCCGTTCACTAAGTGCAGATTTAGTTTTATTTTTGGAACCTATATAGCCTTCTGTTGTTTGCTGAAACGTTGCCATCGTGATTTTCCCGCCCCATTTGAACACCAACGGTGGAGCAAGAAATGTAGGCAGATAATGTAACAACACCTGCGGACATATTTGCATCCTGTATGAAACATGACGAAGAAGAAAATAAGCATACAGACGTACAGTCTGGGCACTGGTACCCAAAGTGCAGTCTCCCCAACTTTTTGTGTCGTGCATTTCTCGATGTGAAATGATGATGCGTTAAGTATTGCTCCACAAAAATGTGGCATCTGGTGTTGACTGTGGTTATTCAGGGAGGGGTGGGGCTCTCTTCACCAGGTGCACAGTAGCAGCAGTGTTTAGTTTTTGTTTTTGTTTCGAGTTTTTTTTTCTGAAACTGCAGCCGCATCTCCTCAGTTCACAGTTGACCTCATTTTTCTTATCGCACTGACAGCAGCTGCTCCAAAAGATAATCCCCAATGTTAAATCTTACTAGTCCAGTCTGCTTGGCAGGGTTAGCGCTAATTAGCGTTCTTGTAGCCAGTACTTGTAGCCACTGGCGACCGGCGTGGTCGTCCCAAGTTGGGAATGAGCATGTGTAGAGGGTTGTTGGATTTACACCAATGTTGGCTGGGGAGGGTTGGGGGGGATAATGTGAAGAGATGTTTCCACCATATTGCTGTAGCCCCACGCGACGTAGCTAGCTGCAAGCTAATAACTGAAGCTTGTAACTACGGTAAGCTAATGAAAGGATGTATGAATGGAATATTTGACTAACTAATGAGTAACTCGTAGACGGACTTACAGAATTTTAACTGACAATTTAGCTAAAGAACAACCCCCCCACCCAAAAAAAAAAAAAAAACACACGTGGATAGCCTGACAGGTTATTGGGGTTTGCATGTCATTATTTGAGGAATTTATTGTTGGGTTGCCAACGAGGAGGCTGCGAAGAAGAGTGAGGAAGATGAGAACGAGGAAGCAGTTTCCCAGAGGCTCCTGCCAGTGTCGGTTTGTGTTGTAAATGATTCAGGGGGCATGCTCTTTATTTTTATACAACTATACCACGTGTGTGTCGATAGATATATTTTTATCCCACTCAGTCCTTTGCTCTTCTTTTATTATTTAATGTGCGATCCCACACTCGGATCAAACCGCAAAAACCACGCAGCCCACATTAAAGGGGAAGTCAAGTCAAAAATAATATGTTCCATGCCGTTCCACAAGTCTAAACGCGCCATTCTGATAAAGACTGCGTTTGGGCAATATGAATGAAGCATGCGGCCATTTTGATCTATCGCAGTGGGCGGCCATTTTGCCACCTGCTGTCCACTGAAAATGACATCACAGTTGCTCACGGCTCAGGTAACGACCAATCACAGCTCAGCTCGTGAATGTCACATGACCAGAGCCAGAAAACAATTCCACCTCCAAAAGTGGAGTGGACCTGTAGCGGTTTATTTGTAGCCCTCCGTTTTGAGTGAAACTTATGCTGGTTGGTCGTTTTACTCAACTGCAGAGAGCACCGGAGTCATATTTTAACTTTGGATTCCTTTTTGTTTCAGGAGGAAGAAAGATGTCATTGGCGAGGAGCATCAGCGTGAAATCTGCTTCAGCTTTCAAGTGAGGACAAAAACGAGCAACAGGCTGAGGAGACAAAAGCCACAAAACAATCCCGCCACCGCTGCATTCACACACAGGTAGAGACACCGACACAAGATATTCATATTCACTTGGTAGGTTAAGGGCATTAAAAAGTCACCTTATGTTGTTTTTTTTACATTTAGGGCACTTTTTACATTTGTATGACAATTACATTTGTTAAAAATATATTTTATTGAAAGCAAGATACACGTTTAATATTATCTATCAAATAAATAAATAAAAATCTGTTAAAACTATATGTAGTATTTAAAAAAAACAATACAATAAAAACATAATTGATTAAAATCAAGCAATAAAATACTTTAACTGGTTTGTCAAATGATTTAAAATATACAGTACATTGTTTTTTAAATTAATTTAGTGATGCTTAAAAAATGCTCAATCCTAAATTGCCTATTTTAGATTTTTATTGTAATTATTTACTTTTATTTTATTTTTTTTTTCATAAATGATACTTAAAAATACCAATTTAATCTAAAGTAAGGATTCAAATGAAATTAAAAACCATGAAAAAAAACACTTTTTATGTTCCCTTTATTATGTTTTCTTGTTATGAAACAAAAAAATGAAATAAAAAAACTGCATGTTGCCTAGAGCAGGGGTCCCCAACCGCCGGTCCGCGGACCGGCGGGTGGGGGGCCCCCCCCCCGGCCACAAGCAGTTTTTTTTTTTTTTTAAAAAAAAAAAAAAACCTGCATGTTGCCAGGGGCGGGGCCCCCCACCCGCCGGTCCGCGGACCGGCGGGTGGGGGGCCCCCCCCCCGGCCACAAGCAGTTTTTTTTTTTTTTTAAAAAAAAAAAAAAACCTGCATGTTGCCAGGGGCGGGGCCCCCCACCCGCCGGTCCGCGGACCGGCGGGTGGGGGGCCCCCCCCCCGGCCACAAGCAGTTTTTTTTTTTTTTTAAAAAAAAAAAAAAACCTGCATGTTGCCAGGGGCGGGGCCCCCCACCCGCCGGTCCGCGGACCGGCGGGTGGGGGGCCCCCCCCCCGGCCACAAGCAGTTTTTTTTTTTTTTTAAAAAAAAAAAAAAACCTGCATGTTGCCAGGGGCGGGGCCCCCCACCCGCCGGTCCGCGGACCGGCGGGTGGGGGGCCCCCCCCCCGGCCACAAGCAGTTTTTTTTTTTTTTTAAAAAAAAAAAAAAACCTGCATGTTGCCAGGGGCGGGGCCCCCCACCCGCCGGTCCGCGGACCGGCGGTTGGGGACCCCTGGCCTAGAGTGAGGGTAAAAAAAAATGACTGAAATCATAACAAGCATGAAGGTGATCATTGAGTGTGTGTGTGTTGCATGGCGCTAATTGGGTCAGCGTGACTGCTTGTAACGAGCAGATGCCCATTTGCGAACCTTGACGTCTGCCAACTCCGACACGAGAAGCCGGAGCCTCTCTGCGCTCTCCATTGCCGTCTGCGCTCTCTGTTCCGGTCGCTAGCTAGCCGATGCAAAATTGACCCGCTTGCCGTCTGAAAGCAGGAAACACAAGACGGTCAATGGCATCCTGTGATTGACAGCCAGGTGGGGCAGGGCGGATTGACGAATTGATTCCGCTCCTTTTGAAAGCATGATACATTCCTAATAACTGTCGAGACATGCCATTGCTCTGACACTTGATCCCTCTGCTGTATTGCAACAACATCATGAGGGTAAAGACACCTTGATTAGCAGACTGGACGTTTTTTACAAGAAGCTAAGAAAGGAACCCTGAAGAAACTAAGATGCCGTTGGTAGTTTTCGTGGAAAAAGGCACTTTTTAAAGCGATAAGCAAAGCAAAAATCCTCCACCAGGAACTTTCACATACTCACAATTTGGAAGCTGCAGATCCCCGCCTGTTTGCAGATTTCGGAAAATATTTTCAAATATTAGATTTGTACCAACTTCTGTTTTTTTTTTTCATGGAAAATACTAAAAATTGTCTTTAAATTTTGGGGGAAAAAAAATCATTGGTGCCAAGCTGTGGGTAATCAGAGGTCCACTTTACATTTCTATATTGCCAGTGGCATTAACAGTCTAAGCAGCTTGAAAAATATTTGTAAAAGAACCGCGAAAAAACAACTCTGAAGAGTTGTGTTAGTTTTCACGGAAAAGGCATATTGAGCAATTGGAGAAAAGTCCGATAGATCCAAAAATGGTATCGGCATCATCAGACAATGATGTAAATGATTTGGAACACATAACGGTCGAGACATTTTGCCATTAAAGTTGTGAAAAACATTTACCATGATTGACCCGCTTCTATGAAAACGAGTCCTACATATTCCATGACTTTGTGGCAGAGGACAATAATGTGAGAGTCTGGAAAGATGGATGTCGCCGTGGCGGGCTCAGTGATGCCTCGGCCCGCCAGGCACCGCGGGGCTGCGGGCGGCCCGTCCGGCCCGCGGCCTCTGCTCCAGTTCGCTCGGTTGCACACGCACATTTCACACAGACGCAGCACTGCTCTCTCGTCTGACTGCTCCTCTTCGCTCTCGCTCGCTGTTTTTCTCTCTGGCGTGGAATCGGCACGCATGTTGGCCGGATGCAGCCGGCTAAGGCCAACGCGCGCAGGCAAGTGTTTGTTCCTGCTGACATGCAGTCAAAGGACACGCACACACACAGTCCCAGACACCAAGCATCAACGTCAAGCTGGTCGAAACTGCACATGACACAATTGCACATCATCTTTTATGTCGCTTCCCCTGCGGTGTAGCTTATTTACATTGGAATGTAATGTTAAGATCAGTCATCAATTTATTATATAATTTGTCAAGGCTCAAGGAGCATATTCACTACAGGGTTCAGAATGAATTGGTTCATCGGCTACTAACGTCTTTAACGACTTTAACGTTCAGTCGGTAATTAAGGTTGCTCAAAAAAACGACGTAATTACGCTGACATTGTATTCTACGGCGCCTGTTGCTAGCATTTACTCGCTGCTGTGTTTGTGCGACGTCACCTTGCGAACAAGTGGTGTGTTTACGAGTTCGTATATTGCCGCACTTACTTTCACAAACTCATTACAACCCCCCAACAGCAACACTCAACAGTAGAATGCAAAAAAGTTCCTTAAAAATTTGTTGACAAGTGTAATCGGAATGTTATTGTCTACTGTCAAGACATAGATTTTGTTTTATCCGTTGCTCTTGCTCCCTCTCAATATATTTGCTATTTTGCTATTTTTGGCCGAAAATGCCAAAAAAAAACACCGTGAGAGTATTTATATATGGGTGGTCTGGACTGTAATCTTGCCCACAATGGAGGGGGTCTACTTGAGCCTTGAATGGGCCGCACGCTTCAGGTTTGTACATGCGTAATGTTTTGTTTTTTTTGCTCTGCAGTCTTTCCTGGTGTGGGCGGCCAATGCCGGACCTGTGGCGGGCGTCCGCCTGCGGTCGCAGCAGTCGTGGCAGCGTGGCCGGCAGCACCCCCTAGCCATGCCGTCGTCTACGCGCAAAGGGGCGCCCAAGGACCCCGAGCTCGCTGAGCTCTTCTTCAAAGATGACCCCGAGGACGTGTTCTGCGACCTGCACGAGATCGGACATGGCAGCTTCGGGGCCGTCTACTTTGTAAGTCATTCTTCAAAGTGTTGGAGCTGATGCTGGAACGGTGCCATGATGACAGTGGACTGTCGGCATTGTCGCTCAGGCCCGCAACTCGTATTCCAACGAGGTGGTGGCCATCAAGAAGATGTCCTACAATGGCAAGCAGACCACTGAAGTAAGACGCTCACATGCACGGGCACACACCCTGTCAAGAAAAAGTCGACATTGACCAAGGTTCAAGGTACAATTGCAATCAATTTCGCTGGGCAGCAGGAAATTTGCCGGAAGCACACCTGCTCAAAAGGCGTGCCGGAAAACACGCAAAAGCCTCCGAAAAATATTTGCCGACATTGGCCCCGCCCTCTGCAAGCCCTCGCTTTGCCCTAGTTTATAGTGCGACTTTCAGTGGAGGGGATGCTGTGCTGTTGATCTTTGCTTTCAGTTTCAAACCCAAAGTTCAGGGAGCTTCATGGGTCATCAGCATGTCATCAAAAGTTCAATGAAAACTTCCAACTCGTCATGAGCTCCCTCAAGTTTTCTTTTCTACGTTTTATTTTAAAATTTCAAAATAACTGAAATTTTAAACTTTGAACTGATCTTTGTCTTAATTTCAACTTGAATTTTGGTCGATGCGCGTTGGCAACAAAGTTTGATAATCGGTCACAAACTCAATGCCAGGGTGGCACCGGAGAGGTCTGTACAACGCCCTCTAGCGGCAGATATGCAGTAACTGCTGTGGTTTGTCTTGCGCAGAAGTGGCAGGACATCATCAAGGAGGTGAAATTTTTGGGGCAGCTGAGGCACCCCAACACCATCGAATACAAAGGATGCTACCTGAAAGACAACACCGCCTGGGTGAATATTTCTTTGCACTGGTCGCCTCCACTTCGGATTGGCTCATATGTCTGGACAGCGCTACCTATCTGTCAAATGTATGGAATACAAAATAATACGTTTTTTATTTTATTTTTTTTTCTTGTGTCTTTCAAAAGCTGGTGATGGAGTATTGCCTGGGCTCCGCCTCCGATTTACTCGAAGGTATTTTTTTTTTTTTTTTGAGGGGGGGAGAGTGGGTGTAAATATGTGGAATAGAAAAAGGTTGTCATTTCTATTTTTGGTTGGCCATTTAAGTTCACAAGAAACCACTGCAAGAGGTGGAAATCGCCGCCATTACCCACGGTGCCTTGCTGGGACTGGCTTACTTACATTCCCACAACATGATTCACAGGTGAGTGTACATCTCTTTAACTCGTCCCTCCCAACATTCGCGAAAAGCCCAGCGGGGCGACCTTTCATCTCTGGCGTTATATCTCAGCTTCTCTTATCATTTCTGCTCCACGGCCGAACGACCTTTGCACTGTTAAACGTTGCAGCGATGCAATAAAATGCAAACGTGCTACGGGAAATGATACAAGGGGGAAAAAAAAACGTCACCACATTTGGAGATTGGTGGATTCGGTTGGGCAGCTTGTCATCATCCAACATGCGCATCGAGTTTTACAATGAAAAATACTGTCCTTGGATTTGGTCAGACAAAAAGAGTGCATGTTTTTCTACATTTTGCGAATTGTTTCTCTGTTGTATTGTCTAAACGCCAGCAAAAATAAAATGATCAGATATTAGATTTTTTTTTTTTTTTTTGCTTTGGTTAAAGTATGAATGAAAATAATAGGGTTTTTTTTCATTATCCAGAATTTTTTTCAACCATGGTTCAAAGAATGAAAAAAAAAACAAGTTAACCATCTTTCTCTAAATTTTATAATTTTTTGGGGGAGCGGGGACAGCAAAACATTTTTTCAGGTTTTGATTTTTTTTCATGTTTCAAACTTTTTAATAATACCACCCTTTTTTTTTGTGAAAAAAAACAGCAAAATAAATTAAAAAAATAAAACAATCTGTCCAATGAAAAGCATGCATCTCCAAATTGTAGGGTTTTTCTTGGGGGGGGGGTGGATAAACAGCAAAATTATCAGTTTTCTTCTGCTATAAATTCAAGAATTTCAATAATCCATTATGTTGCAAACATTTGTTAAAATCATTTTTTTTCACACTTCAATTACGAAAACACTCCTTTTTACCCACACCCCGAAAAAAACAGCAAAAAATTTCCAAGGAACCAAGGACATTTTCGCAATAGTTACAGTTCGTTTTAGTTCATTTTATCAACGTAAGATGCTGTTTCAATTAGTTTTCCTGCTTTTCATGAAAGCATTTTTCTTTTGCGGCAAAGCTTTGTTAAAAGTTGTTCTTTTGCGGTTCTTCAGAGACGTGAAGGCAGGGAACATCCTGCTGACGGAGCCTGGCCAGGTTAAGTTGGCCGACTTTGGCTCCGCCTCCATCGCCTCGCCCGCCAACTCCTTCGTGGGGACGCCCTACTGGTGAGGCTTTTAAATTAGGGCTCCAAGTGAGGCCTTGAGGTTGAAATCTGGGTTCTGACACCGCGTTCGGGTTTCATATTATCCCCAAGCCACACATTTGAGTTTCTAATTTGGGTTTCAAGTCTGGGTTTGGGTTTCAAAGGAAGTGTCCTTTTGGTACCTGTATGTGTGTGTGTGTGTGTGTGTGTGTGTGTGTGTGTGTGTGTGTGTGTGTGTGTGTGTGTGTAATGGCGTGTTTTTGTGCTTGTGATCAGGATGGCCCCCGAAGTGATCCTGGCCATGGACGAAGGCCAGTACGAAGGAAAAGTGGACATCTGGTCGCTGGGGATCACCTGCATCGAATTAGGTAGCCCGACTTTGCTCGCCACGGAGACAAAAAAAGGTGACTTTTGTCTGGCGTTTGTCGCCAATGGGGTGACTTTGAATTTGCGTCTGCTTCCAGCCGAACGCAAGCCGCCATTGTTCAACATGAACGCCATGAGTGCCTTATATCACATCGCGCAGAACGACTCGCCCACCCTGCAGGCCAACGAGTGGTAAGGCGCCACTGTACTCCCCCACACTGTACCGTGGCATCAACGTTCGAATCCTTTTGCGTTTTGCAGTTTAGTGACTTGTTCATTTCGTTTTGGCATTCATTTAGTTTTAGTGTGTTTTTGGAGCAAGTTGATCTGTTTTTTTTTTTTTTTAAATTCCAAAATGCTTCTTTTTAGTTGAGTTTTTATTAGCTTTGGGATTAGTTTTAGTTTCCTGTGAAATATGGAGTGTTTGTCAAATGTTAGATTAAAAAAGAAAAAAGGCTGTAAATAGAGTGCAATAAAGTAAAGGAAACTACAATCCTCAAACAACTTCCTGATTTTGTACGGATATACTGCAATACCTTTTCGTTTTTCAAGAAGCATTTTATTTCCTTAACGAAAAGGGTTTTTTTTTTTTCCAATTTTGGTTGTGTGCGGGTGGCCCAGTGGTGAGAGGCGTCCACCTCACAGGGCAGCAGTTCAGGGTTCGATTCCGGCTCCAGGCTTCCTGTGTGGAGTTTGCATGTTCTCCCCGGGCCTGCGTGGGTTTTCTCCGGGTACTCCCGGGTTCCTCCCGCATTCCAAAAACATGCATGACATGCTGATTGAACACTCTCAATTGTCCTTAGGTGTGAGTGTGAGCGCGGATGGTTGTTTGTCTCTATGTGCCCTGCGATTGGCTGGCAACCGGTTCAGGGTGTCCCCCGCCTACTGCCCGAACGCGGCTGGGATAGGCTCCAGCACCCCCCGCGACCCTTGTTAGAATAAAGCGGATCAGAAAATGGATCGATGGAATTTAGGCTTTAGTTATTCAATTCAATTTCCTTAACTCTGATCACATTGGATGCTATACGAAGGATTACAATCCAATGCACTCCGCTGCAATATGGTACAATGCGATGTGATATGATCTTTTACCAGCCAGGCACATGCACACATAGCCACAAGGTGGTGCTCAAGCACCTGCCCTTTTGCCCCCCCCACCCCATAAAAAAGGGCCCTTTTTTACCTTTTTTCCCCTTCATTCATCTGTACTAAATAAATCCTCTTATATTCACCTCCGTAATATTTTTTGTTTCAATTGAGTCGCACGGGTGATAGGATCACTAAGAGTGGGGATTTTTCATATCCACTGTGGCGTCCCGTCAACTGGGGAATCTTCGGAATATTCCAAACTGAAAACTTTCCAGGGCATTTTACGGCATTTATGAGAACGAGATATCGTATTTACGCATAAACAGGAACTTTGTTTTGTCATAAGCAGATGACAAAATAGCTCTCGTCATATGACGCGCTTTGTCATGACGAGACATGACGAAACGCCGTTTCCTCCTCGTCCTCCTTCCGGTCACCGCCACGGACGCCTTCCACTAGCGTAGCTAACGTAGCGGCTAACACACCTCCAGGGACTCGTGGAGCGCACGTGAAAACTCCGGAAGCGCTTGAATGTAGGGCACAAAATGCAATCGTGCCTCCTCCGCTAAGGTTTGGCTTTCAAATGAGGCGATTGGCATTTTGGATCATGTAAAAAAATAAAATAAAAACATGGAACAAAATTCAGCTGTGGTCATACTTTGCAAACGCACTATTTGTGGATATGTCATTTATATTGGACCATGGGAAAACCCCAAGTGTACCGTGAAGCTAATTTAGCCGCAAATGTCTTCTCATCAGGTTATTTTTAGGTCCTAGGCAGCATGCATTGATTTTGGATTTGTTCATTTGTCCCATTACTTTTGCTCCCTTCAAAAATAGGAGGCACGTCTACAAACCGTTTGAATTCCTTGACTGGCTGTCGCCTTATCTCCAGACCATCAAAGTTTCATTTCAAATCATTTACAGTCCAAGACAGGAAAAGCTCATGTTTAGAAAAAAAACAAGAAAAAAAATGATGTGATTGATTATTGTTGATTATTGTCCATCTCCAGAGAAAATATATTTTGTAATGTGCTCGTTGATGATGATGATGATGATGATGATATCTTCTGGTGCAGGTCAGACCCTTTCCGGAGCTTTGTGGACTACTGCCTACTGAAAATTCCTCAGGACAGACCCTCGTCGGGGGAGCTGCTGCGAGTGAGTCCTCGTTGCCGCGCTTCTTGTCATTTGGACTCGGATGTGTCTCAAGAGGGATTTTTGGGGATGATCAGGGATCATCCCAAAAACTATGAGGCCTACTCATGTTGTAGTACAGGCAGGCCCGGACGGAGGCATCTGAACTTTCTAGGCGAATTCCCGCTGGGCGGGGTTACGGGTTACGCTAATGGGGGCCGCTGCTTCGTTACTTCCCTCTGGTCATCACATGATATGCAGCACTGACTGCCTAACATTAAGAGCTTCATCACCAAGTCACAGCAATTTTTTTTTTTTAACCAATTTTCAGCGCAGCCTCCCTCGTTCCTTTTCTTCAAATGCAGTGGCGGCACCCCGCTGAGGTTGTGAAATGAGGTCGAAGGCAGCGGGATTAAAATGAGATTACAAATAGTCTTTTCCGCCGTTTGACCGGGTCACAAACGTTGTTAGACAAACAAACTAAAAGAGCCCAAATAATGCGCAGCTACACATGTCAAACATGAAGATAATAACAATGAGCGCCCGCCTTGCGTGACTGACGGCCAAAAAAAACGTTCCAGCTTGCGATGGAGGCCCAAATCCTCACGAAGGGGTTTGAAAATGTACAGCGCTTCAATTGTGTGGGTATTTGGACCCATTTTGCAAAATGGCGCCACAGTGAGCTACTGGTTACCGTGTCCGCTTCACAATGCAGAGTTGCAGGGTTCGATTCCGGGCTCCGGCCTTCTTGTGTAGAGTTTGCATGTTCTCCGTGTGCCTGCGTGGGTTTTCTCCGGGTATTCCGGTTCCCTCCCACATTCCAAAAACATGCGTGGCAGGCTGATTGAACACTCCAAATTGTCCCTCAGTGTGAGTATGAGCGTGAGTGGTTGTTCGTCATCGTGTGCACTGCGATTGGCTGGCAACCGGTTCAGGGTGTCCCCCATCTACTGCTGGGATAGGCTCCAGCACGCCCGTGAACCTCGTGAGGATAAAGCTGATGACTGGATTTCCAAAATGTTTGAAATGTTGTTGTTGTGTTGTCAGCATTTGATAGAATAAAGCTCCAATTTCCATTTGACTCATAAAGACGTCGGTAAATGTCCCATTTGCAGCGTTGCTGCACTGTTACATGAAAATCAGGAATTCGTTTCAACTCACAGGCGCCCTCCGGTGACACTTCTGGCAATAGCGGGTCCAACGAAGGCGATTTTCAAGTTTTTGTTTTTTCTTTCTCTTGCCCAGCACGACTTTGTGCGCCGGGAGCGGCCGGCGAGGATCCTGCTCGACCTGATTCAGAGGACCAAAGATGCCGTGCGCGAGCTGGACAACCTGCAGTACCGCAAGATGAAGAAGATCCTCTACCAGGAGAAGCACAACGGGCCCATGGGGGAGAGCCAGGAGGACGAGGAGGTGGGACCGTAATGCCCACGGCACCCGTTTAGCCTTCGGCTTATGTTCCGAGCACTCGTCGCACAGGGAGACCTGTAAAAGTTCTCCAAAAGAAGCGCCCGGCGTTCTTGCTTCAAGCTGTTCGGAGGGTTGGGTTCACGACGGATTTTATTTTGACATTCCACTTGTCGATCAGCTATCCCATCCATCAATCGATTAACCAGACTCAAATTTCAACGGGCATGTGCATATGTAACTTTGTGGACGTGGACTCGCAGGACAGTGAGGCGGCCAGCTGCAAGATGAACAGCCTGGGCAGCAGTCACTCCATACCCAGCACGTCGGTCAGCACGGGCAGCCAGAGCAGCAGCGTCAACAGCCTGCAGGAGGTTCTGGACGACATTAGCGTGATGCACCCGCACGACTACGGGAGCACCCTGGACTCCTCCGTGCACACCGAAAAGGTATTTCTGCCTGAAAGGGCTGCGGGGACAGGTGTCGCCAAGTTTGCATGTTCACTCAACTCCCGTTTCTAGACTGCGACCAGGCTAGAATTGTCATGAAGCTGTTAAAGCGCGGCGGAATATGTGGCGTCAGCGGGTGGAGTTGTCCGCCTAAACGGGCCTACATTGGGTCCTCTGCTGATGTAGCGAAGCTTGTAGTCTGTATTCTTCACGCGTTACTTTACAGACTGCTACCAGTTTGGGTTTCTCTTGAAGAAACAAAAGCATAAAATGTCTGGCATCAGTCAGGTGGAGTTTGCCGCCTCAACGGGCTGCGTGGGATGGATGTCACAAAGGCAGCATGTTAACTGAACCCCCATGCTGTTTACGAGCATGCCGACACCACACATGATTTATGTTGAGGCAAAGCGGGTGTAAAACGTGTGGTATCAGCCGCTGGACTCTGCCGCCTAAATGGGATGCGTTGAGTGGTCAGCAGACAACCAAAAGTTGGCATGTTGTTTGTTTGTTTGTTTTTTTTTGACCACATTTTTCCCTGTGTTGCCAGATTCAATTGACCTCAAGGCAAATACGTGTTTGATGCCTAAACGTGGTTCCAGCAAGTGAAGTCCTTTTGGCCAAACGGGCTGCCTGAGGTGTTAGCCCAACTAAAATTACAATGTTAAGCTGCACCCTGCCTTTGGTTCCTTTCCTGGTCGCTACCCGTCTCACTTTTCTCTTGGTGACAATGAGTAGTTATGAACGCAGCAGCCGAGAGTGTTTTCTGCCCAAACGGGCCGCGTAGGGTACCCGGTGATATCCCTGCATGTTGTTACAGACTTTTACCAGGGTCGATTTGTGCGGAAAAAGCGCAGGCATGAAATGTGCATGTTTGTTGTGTGTCAGGAGCAACAGTACACCTGGGATGACGGCATTCACCCCAAGAGCAGCCAGGCCCAAAACTACAAGAACCAGGCCCGCTTTGCGACCATCAAGTCTGCATCCTTGGTAGGATTTTCTTTTTTTCATGAAAATGATCTCTGCCAGTGTTGTTTAGCCACAGAACTTCACGCAGAAAAGGTACTGCAGAACAAATTCCCTCACACCTTGTGTGAAGACAGCTAAGTGGGTAGAGTGCTTGTTGAGGGTTCGATCCTCAGTCCTTGCGACCAAGTTGAAGTGTCCTTGAGCAAGACCCTGAACCCCCCCCGGATGCTGGTAGATGTGAAATAGGTCTGAACTGCTTTGAGTGTGGAGTCTAATATATGTGGCAGTAGCAGGTGGAGTTTTCTGCCTCAACGGGCTGCATGAGATGTTTGGTGGATTTATCAACATTAGTATGTGAGCTGCAACCCCACATTTTGTTACTTCCTAGCCATCGGGCTTGATTTATCTCGAAAACAGCAGCACCAGTTCAAGTGCGTCCGCATGGTTGCTTGCTTTCTGCCTAAACGGGGTGTGGAAGATGCTATGTGGATGTCTCAACATCAAAATATATGCACCTACACATTTTGCAAATTGCCAGACTGCTATCAGATTAGATTTTTTTGTGTTCTCATTTTTGAAATGCCGACAGCATCGAATACCGTAATTGGCAGCAGCATGTCGAGCTTGCCATCTAGACGGGCTGCGGGAGTTATTCGGCCGACGTCTCAACGTGATGTCAAGTGTTATTACATATTAGTTGTGTCGTTTGGGCGAGCGCGCTTAATTTTCTTGAACCACCGGCGGTGTGAAAATCGATGGCGGCAGCCGCTCGGCGTTTTCCTTTCTCGTCTTTTCTTTCTCTCGTTTACTCTTTGTGTGTCTCTCACTCGTCTGTTGTCATAGAAACAAGCCGTAGTAAGTTGTAGTAAGTCGGCGGGCTTTCACGTGGGCTTTTTAAACCCTCTGTGAACCGCTGTGTGCGCGAGTGTGTGTGTGTCTGTGTGTGCCTCTGTGAGTATGTGTGTTTGTGAGAGAGCGCGTGCGTGTGCAAGTGAGCGTGTGTGTACTTGTGTGCGGGAGTGAGAGTTAAGAATGTGAGCGTGGATTTGTGTGTGTGAGTGAGAGCGTGCGTGTGCGTGTGTGTGTGTGAGAGAGTGCGTGTGTGTTATTTTGTGTTTCTGTGTGTAGCACCTGTGTGTGTGTGTGTCTCCGCTTGTGTGTGCATGCAAGTGAGAATGCGTGTGTGTGTGTGTGTGTGTGTGTGTGTGTGTGTGTGTGTGTGTGTAAGACAAGTGTGTCTGTGTGTGAGTTTAGACGGCATGTGCGTGCCCGCGGTGCCCTTGACAAAGGTGCGAAACACACACGTGCATGCTCACGCCTTGGTTCATCTGAGACCTTCTATGACGGGCGCGAGCGTACGCACACGCGCGGCGGCTCCTGAGTTGGTGTTAGATGACATCATCTTTTTTGCCCGCGTCCTCAAGCAGGGAGACAAAGAAACCGCCGCCGGGCGTTCGCGCAGTCGTCTCCACAGATTGGAATGGTGGGATGGATGGCGTGATCATCATCATCTTCATCATCATGGTTGAGGCGACGGTACTCTGGCGGGAGTTTTGCGCGCCATCCATCCAAACGGCACCACTGCGGTTGGTGCGTGGCGAGTCGGGCCGGAGTGAAGCGGACGAGGGAGGGGGCGCAGAGGTTATTCTAGGTCAAAGCAAAGCCCGCTTGGGGAAGCAACGCCGACATATCCAGCAAGTTTTTCAAAACGGCTTTGGACTTGATTTGCCCCGACCCAACCTCCCAACTGTGCGCGCACGCACACACACACACACACACACACACACACACACACACACACACACACACACACACACACACACACACACACACACACACACAGAAAAATTGAGTCATGTTGTGGCATTGACCTCAAATCATTTTTCATTAATTATCATTTTTGTATCATTAACCGTATATCACCAAATTTCTTCGACTTACAACTTCTGAGAAATACAAAGAGTATGTTTTCTTTTTTTCGAATAGGTTCAACTAGGACAAACATTGCTGTTCCCTTTTTTTGCTGCGTCTTTTCAAGGCCGTCCATGCAGTTGTGCCTTCATTTTTGATGCCATCAGCTTCCTTGTCCCAAAACGGACAAATGGAACACATTCAAAGGAGAACATTAGAGTTGGACTCCTTTAATCAAATGTGTCATTTCGGCGGCTTTCCCTTGGCCAGAGGCCACAAATTGATGTAAACGGGAGATTTGGAATTGGGGCGACAAGCAACCATTATCTTAGTAAGTGATTCATCTGTCAATGTTTTGTTTTTTTTTTTTAATCTGATGAAACTTTCATCCATCCCTTGATTCCAAAAGCAGATCAACTTTTCAAAGTGGCAGTGCAAGTGATGCGAATTCAGTTACCGCTTTGGTCCCTTCCATCAATAAAATATTGATGACTGTTCTCCAAAATCAAAGCAGATCTTTTTTTTTTTGCCGGGGGGAAAGAAAAAACCCACGGAAAATCAGTCTGCTTTCAAAATATGAGAACATTTGCTGAAATTCCACACATTTGAACAAATTGAAGTTGTTGCGAAATGATTCATCAATGACCGATGAATTTGATCATCACTGAAGCGTTGTCCGTTTCCAGAGCTGAAAGGCTTGAAAAAGAAGGGAGGGAGGTGGCGCCAAAAAACCGGCGCGGCGCCCGCAGGGTTAACGCGGCCGCTTGCCATTTCCCTCACTAACATGCCCACCCGACCCCCCTTCGCCAAACTCCCGTCAATGAGGTATTCATGTAACCCACCTGCTGCCCGCCGCCTAGCGTTGGCGCCGCTCAAAGGGCGGCTCTGTGCCGGCCTCCGCCTCCCTTTGCGTGCCCTGGGCACCAACCAGTGCACAGCGTTGTCGTTTGGGGGGGGGGGGCAATCTGGGCTCCCTCGGACCCCGGGGCCGGCTCGCGCGCGGGGCCAGAGGACGCTGCCCGGGCCAGGCTCCCGGATGCCGCTGCGCTGGGCCGCGCTCGCCGCCATGTTGGGCCTGAGGCGTTCGGCCGGGACGTACCGGAAGATGCGCAGCCAGGACGCACAGCAGCCCTTCCGTCGTCAGGTCTGCCCCGTTTCATGATTTGTCGGAAGCGCGCAGATGATTGAATTGTTCAAACGGCAGATGGGATAGGTTTGAATCGCTCGAGCGATCTGGAAGGCGGAGTTTAATGTGAATAAATCGAGCTTTTCATGTGAGAGGGTTTGTTTCGGGGAGGTTGAGGAATTGAAGTTGGAATGATTTGAATCGATCAAAAAACGGGCAAGGAGGTGTGCATGTTGTGAAAACATATGCACATAACAAAATGAAAAATCTGCAAATGTAAAAAAATAAAAAAGTCCCGGCGGATTACAGAATGAGCTCAAAATGTCGACGTTGGAACGGTTCGAATCGGCTCAGAAATGTGGCAAGAAGAAGTCCACATGGGTGGCGTCGGGCCGAAACCGCCGACTGGGTGTCACCATTTGGTACATTTCGATTTTTTTTTTCACAGCTTGGCCAGGTCACGCTTGGAAAACAGATTTTCAGTCTCAATGAGTTTTTGGTTTTTTTTTTAACCTGGTTAAAATAAAGCAATGTCATGACACAAATCCACACGTGCTGAAAATGGCTCCCACTCTTTTTGTCGATGGCTCAACGTTAATGTTTGAACAATCGTACCATTTTGGGGGGGTGGGGGGGGGTCTCTTGAAATGTGAAAATTCCACCCGATGCCAATGACGTCTCAAATAGTCATTGGAGAGTCTGACGATGAACATTTGAATGAGATCGACAGTTTGACAATGGAATGGTTTGAAATGGTCGACGAATGTGAAAGGAGGAGCTCAAGATCAAAAATGTGTTCGCCTTGATTTGACAACGTTGTCGTGGAAATACAAAAATGTGGCATTTTGAAGAATCAGTTCAGGAATGTGGAATGGGAGGTGAAAATGTTGAGCGTTTGGCAGGTTTTCTGTGAAATTGTGGGAATGTGGTCGATATTTCCTCACGTCTGCACAGAAAAATGAATGAGATGTGTACATTTTGACGTTGAAATGGTGTCCCAAAATTTGTGAGGAGGAAGCGAATGTGTCGAATGTTTTTTATTTTTTGATTTCATGGAAACGGGCAATCGTTCAAAATGTGGCGATTGTGCTCGTGTGGAAAAAAAAAACGTTGCCCAGATGTTGTCAGACTTAAGTTGGGATGTTCGTTTCAATGTGTGGCTTGAGAAATGTGGAAGCAGCTGAAAATCAAAAAAGTTGAATATGTCTCACCGAAAAGCCTCAGTCGTTTTCCAACATTTTTGGAAAACAAGAAGAAAAAACTGCAGCTAACCATGATTTTAACCATCTATCGATTATTTTGTCGATTATCATCTTTAAAAAATTTCAATCCCTTTCTTCAAAAGCCGGACATTATGACAATGCAAAAAAAATGGATTTGTGATTCAGTCACTGGTTTTCTCCGTCATATGTCAAAAAAAAAAATTAACCGAAATGCTGATCGTTATTTTCAAAAGTAAAAGCAAATCATTTGTTTTTATTGAGCAGAAATATAATCAGTCCACCTTCATAGATGACGACTGGTAAAAAGCCGACATTCCCAGTCTTTGGACAGTTTTCAATTAAAAAGGGCATCTTAATGATTCAGCGACTATTAAAAAAAAAAAAAGAATTGTTTAATTTGATAATTGATTCGTTGTCGATTAATCAATTGATAGCTAAGCACTTTTTGTGTTTTGGTGGCCTCCCCAATTTTTTTGGGCGGCGGTGCCAAAAGTGATTTTATTATTCTTTACGAAAAATTCTGATTTTACTTTCACACGAAAGGGCGCAAAGCTTATAAATCTGGATTGAGTACGTGTGTGACTCTCGGGTTATTTATTGGGATATTGTGACATTGTGTCGTAGCTTGTGAGACGTATACCGGGAAAACTAAAGAAAAAGAGAATTTCCAAAAAGCAAAATACAAAACGGGATTTTGTCCAATGCTGGCATAAAAGAAAAGAAAAAACAAACCAAACAAACAAAGGCAATTTTGCCACACGAGCTGGAACCGGCGGCCTAAGCATTGTTGTCCAAGTAAAATGTTGCCGTTTTGTCTCTCAGGTGACCAAGCAGATCCACGAGCACGAGCAGGAGAGCGAGCTGCGCGAGCAGATGTCGGGCTACAAGCGCATGCGGAGGCAACACCAGAAGCAGCTGATCGCCCTGGAGAACAAACTCAAGGCCGAGATGGACGAGCATCGCCTCAGGCTGCACAAGGAGGTGGAGACGCAGGCCAACAACGCCTACGTCGAGCTGGAGAAGCTGGCCAAGAGGCAGGCCGCGCACGCCGACAAGGAGGTATGCGCCGACAAAAAAAAACAAAAAAAAAAAACAAGCACCGCAAGCAGGCAAAGACTTGGGAAGATGAGAAACAAACAGCCGCATATGCGCACAAAGAGGTGTAGTTAGGAAAAGCACACGCGCCGCACAAAGACGCGGTATCGTTTTAAAAAAAAAACAAATGCAGTTAGGAAAAACAAACAAAAGCTGCGTACCTGGACCAGGAGGTAGAGTTCGGAAAAGCAAAGGCTGCTCACGCAGACGAGGAGGTATCCTCAGGAAAGTCACAAAGTGGACAAGAATAACCCTGAGCCACATGCTGCTTCACTGAGACGTTAACCATTTGATGCTGATCGAGATGGAAACTTGCAGCCACGTGACGCTTCACATACAATTTGCAGGCGATCGCGCATACGCCACCGTGCTAACCCCCCCGGGCGTAAGCCGCGCGCTAACATGCCAACGTGCTAACTCGCGCAGGCGAAGGCGTCGCTGGCCGAGGAAAAGAAGTTCCAGCAGCAGATGGTGGCGCAGCAGAAAAAGGAGCTCAGCACATTCCTGGACACGCAGAAGAAACAATACAAACTCTGCAAGGAGAAGATTAAGGAGGTAAGCGAGCCGCGTGCTAAGACGGCGTCAGCTAGCAAGACGGCTAGCGCTCGTGTTGACAAAAACGTCTAAACGTACGCGTTGGGGTGTCTCGATCGTCTTTGATCGCTGTAAAAAAAGATTTGTTGAAGGTGAAAAAAACAAACAAACCCCCTCCCCCC